TTTTTTAAGAAAACTCTTTCATTGGTACGTCTGTGGTTCAAAAGTATGTTTACTTTTCATGCATTTGTGAATTTTACAAAATTTCACTAGTTGATTATTTAAAATCCTATAAGTCACACTGTGTCTTTGAACTTTATAATTTTATTTATTTACATTAAAGGTTATTATTGATATTTAAGTCCAGGTATATCTCATTTTATTGCATTTTATGGCAATCCATATATATATGTATATATTTATTTTTCTTTTTAGTTACTTCTTCCCTTTCTTTCATTTCTTCTTTCTCTTCCTTTTCCTCTCTGCCTCCTTCTTCTTTTCTTTGTCTTCATCTTCTTTTTTCTATTATTATTTTATACAACTGTTGTCAGAAAAATTATATGATATCAATATGCATAGATTTTCCAATATTTGTTTTGTGTACTACTTATGATGCATTCTGGAAGATGTTCTGTTTGTACCTAGAGGAATGTGTATTCTCTTTAGTTGGATAAAGTGTTCTCCATATGTCTGTTAGGTTCTTTTGGTCTAAAATGTTTTTCAAGCTCAATTTCTATATCAATTTTCTTTCTGAATTAGGTGTCCATCATTGAAAGAGGCATATTGAAATATCCTTCTATTATTATATTGCAATCTAACTTATCCTTTATACCCTTTAATATTTTCTTTGAATATTTATGGGCTTCACTATTGGGTTCATATATACTTACAATCATTATATTCTCTTGAATTATTGATCTTTTTTTATTACATGACATGTTCTTTATCTCTTTTAATATGTTTGACCTAAAGCCTATTTCATCTGGTATATATGTGTATATATGTACATATATATGTATACACACACACACACACATACACATATAATCCCTGATTTAATTTGGTTTGCTGTTGTACAGAATACAGTTTTTCTTCTTTCCCACATTTTTGGAGTCCTGGGGATTGAAACCTATGCATGCTGAACTAGTGGTCTAAAACAGCTATATCATCAGATTTCATGTTTTTATGTTAAATTTTGTGTGCAATTTGGAGTGAAGAAAATATCTTATAGGAAGTATATAGAAGGGTCTTGTTTCATTTTAAAATCTGATAAGCCACTCTCTGTCTTGGTACAGGGAAAATAATTCATTTACATTCAAGGTAATTATTGATAGATAGATAAGTTCAAGTCACCTTCATTTTATTCCACTTCTCTTTATGGTGATCTCCATATGTTTACTTCCTTTGTTGTCACTATGAATTGCCCCCTTTCCCATTTCTGTCCATCCAAGTCCTATTTATCTGTCATTGCAAAACTCAAGTATTGATGTGAGTGAAATTGTCCGAGGCACACACTAGGAAATGGTAGAATTATCAGTTCAAATTCCAAGTATTTCAAGAAAACTTTCCTATATACTGGGTACGACACACATGCTAGTGATATCATCTTGCACACATATCCCTGAGTCTGTTTGCATGCAGAAGAATTAACCAGTTATATCAGATCTCTCTGCTTTTAAACTCTATGCTAATCTCCTAAAGAAGAGTAAAAAAATTACTCTAAAGTGAACTCTGGTGTATGAATGATATTGATTTCCAATATATACCACACCATCTCCTGAGTCCAGACACACTTAGGTTAAAGAATATATGCTCACTGTGATTATAGCCATGGAATAGAGATTTGACTATTTTTTATTGTTTCTTTTTAGTTATAAAGGTCAATAGAACTTGTGTTGACATAATTATATAAGCATGGATTATAATTTGTTCTAATTTCTAATTCACTCCACAGTATTTTCCCTTCCCCTCCCTTCTTCTCACCTTTTCTTCTTTTCCCTCTACTCTTCTGATCTTTCTTCTATTTGGTTATAGTTTTTTTTTAAAAATTAGTGTCTTGTAGATGTATGCAATGGTGAGATTCATTGTGGTGTATTCACATATGTACATAGGAATGTAGGTCAGATTCATTTCACAGTCTTCTCCTATCCCATTCTTCCACTTTGCTTTAATTCCCCTTTGTTTACTCCACTGATCTTTCTTTTATCCTCCCCATAGACCTGTTATTTAGATTAGAATTGGCATATCAGCATGGAGATTCCTCAAAAAAAATAGTAATGGAACCACCATATAACCCAGCTATTCCACTTCTCAATATATATTGAAAGCATTTAAAATCAGAATACTACAGTGATACAGCAACATCACTGTTTATAGCAGCACAGTTCACAATAGCCAAGTTTTGGAGCCAACCCAAGTACTCCTCAACAGATGAATGGATAAAGAAAATATGGTACATATACACAATGGAATACTACTTAGCCATAAAGAAGAATGACTTTATGCCATTTGCCAGTATGTGGATGGATGTGGACACTATCATGCTAAGTGAAACAAGCCAGTCCCCAACGTCAAAGGTCAAATGTTCACAACTTCTGAGGCTGACTGTCTTGCAATGCTGTTTATTTTAGTCCATATCCATAGTGAGTCAAATGCCCCTGTCTTATTCTGAAAACTGATTCCAGTCCACAAATGGCATAAAGGTCAGATTTGGAAATTTAATAACCTTAGTGCTTGTTTGGATTGCTTGGGGTGTGCATGTCACCAAATTTAATCATGGGATCAGCTTGAAAATCCAAGTGTTCTGACCTCATGTCTTGTGCAATCTATAATCTAGCACTCTCAGGACCTCTATCCTTACACATGCCATGATTTCAGGCATGTGTAAGAATAGATGAATATAGAACATATTTCTAGGTTCAGTACTGGTACAGAAAATAGCTAAATAAACACACACACCAGTTTTCAAGGGCAAAGGTCAGGATTTAACTGCTAAAACCCAACATCAACTTTTCACCATGCCATGTACAAATGTTACCAGAAGACTTTTTATAAATTAATTTCTTGGGTTCTTCTTATGCAGGTAGGGACTCTGCCTTCAAACCCCAGGGAATTCAACAAGTTTTATTATACCAAAACTAACTCATTAAGAATCAAGATTTCTATCTGCATCAGTGTCCCAACACATAGCACAGGGCTAATTGTTCACAGCATAGACAGAGAGAGATAAAAGATCATTATTTTCTATAACTTCAGGTAGAAAACAGTCAAAAATAAGAAGTTTATAATTTAATACAAGGATCATTTTTCTATCGGAATGAATAGGTAAAAGAGTAATGAAAATGTTTAGGTGAAGGTATGATGAGACATTTATTAAAAATATCAAAAATTAATTGAGACATTTTTACTTCATATTGGTTTCAATAACAGAAAGTTGAAAATCCAGGTTAACATAAAGCCATGGAAAGACATGCAAGAATATCTTGGGCACAAGCCTGAGAGAAGAGTGGGCAACAGTCAAGTGTGGCTGGGCATTGTTGACCATTGAAGACACATCTGATGGACCAGAGTAGAGGGTCTTCATCCCTGTTCCACTCTGCCTCCTGACATCTCCAGGGTTCCCTGGGAAAGGCTGCCTCCACATTCACCCTCCTCAGGAGTGTCCTGCAGAGCCCGCTCAAGCACCAGCTTGAGGTTCCGCCCCTGCACCCGCTGCCTATAGGAGCCAACAAAGAAGTAAACGATGGGGTTGGCAGAGCTGTTAACACAGGAAAAAACACTGGAAACCAGATGAAGGCAAGTAAACATGTTGGAGTCATTCTGAATCCAGACTAACAGGAACAAACGGACACCGAACGGCAGACCACAGAAGAGGAAGACCAGCTCTGTGAGCAGAATGGTAACATAGAGCCTAGTGAGAGGCTTCCTCTGGGATCCACATAGCATCCTATCCAGCAAGGCCAGGCTGGACCCTGAGAGAATAACAAATAAAATTACCAGCCATGCAGTTATAGTAAATTCAACTTTTTTACAAGGAGCTACAGTTGTATTGAAATAAGAAAAACAGCTTCTCTCCAGGGTACTAAGAAACATGGACAGGCCCCAGAGCAGGGCACACATGACAGTGGATGTGTGTCTTGGACGATGGCAGCGGTACCAAATGGGCCACAGGACTGACAGGCAGCGCTCAGTGCTAATAGCACCCAGCATGCTCAGGCCTGCAATGTAGAAAATGATTGCCCCGGTTCGTATGATGCCATATGTAGGGATGTGGATGGGAAGGATGATTTCAATGACTTCCGTCAGGACTTCAGTGATATGGAAGCATAGATAGAGGAAGTCAGCCGCAGCCAGGTTTAGGATGTAGGTATAAAATGCATTTCTGTGCATGCGGACACCCAAAAACCAGATGACAGATGCATTTCCAGTCAGCCCAACTAAGGAAATGATGATGGTCAACACTTTTTCAATCAGATTATTATTGTCACAAATTGAAGGAAGGTCCTTATAACTTCCACTGATTGATGTGGATTCTGTTTTCATTTCTTTGATGATGGAATCCTCTTCCAAAAATGCTATGGCGGAGCCCCTAAAAACACAAAGGAGACTTGAGCATTTGCAGCAATAGCTCAGATATCAGGATCACCCTGCTCTGTGGAGATTACTATATCCATTTTAAAGAGAAGGAGAACAGAGGATTGCATAGGTGAAATCACCAATCCACAGCAGAGGATTTATGAAATATGAAATTAAATCCAGTAGTTATTGTCTGAACAGCTGGAGTTCTCTGGCCTGAACCTAAATGACAAGGAAATATGCTATAATCTGGACACTCCCACTCAGAGTGGGACCAGTACTATAATGACCTGGGATAGTTTTCTCTCAGGTGCTGGAATTGATACAGAAACAGAGGTGATTATAACATCTCCATCGCAAAGAGGCAAAAGAAGATCTGGCTTTATGGCTACTAGGATAATGTGAGCTTTCGGTAAAACAGGACTGAGAATGACTAGTCATAAACAGCTCAGTGTTCAGGCATTGAAGACAGGTTCACTTTTTAATCCCCAGAACTGAGCTCTATGGGTGGCCCACAGGCCCTCAATATCTATTTAATGACTGAATACATGACAGCGTAGGATGATTGGGTTAAATGGAAAATAAAAATAAAAATACAATAAAAAGCCTTAACACACACACATAAATGGGATGAAGAAAATGCCTTCATCATAATCTTTATTGTGAGCAGTATTGGGTGTAGTTAGAATTACTTCTATGTGACCAAATGACTGATGTTGACTATTGATGTGCCTTTGGAGTGTGGATTAAATGTGGCTTTGTTTAGCACCTAGAGGCCTTTGGTGCACAGTGTGGGGATCAGATTTGTATCTCAGCTGAATTGCTTGACAGTATAGAAGAGGACAGTGTGAATATGGGTGAGGTTTGAGTGCCACACAAATGAGGTATTTGAAATGGGAGAATGTCTGTGGAGGAATAATAAGGGGTATATATAATATAAACTTACTCCACCCCCTCCTAGGAAATCCTCAGTAGTATTTTTCTTCTTGATGAAAGCTTTTGTGTGAGATGAGTATACGAAGTGAAATTGAAAGAAGGCATGGCTTGAAGCATAAAGAGAATTGTTGAAGCAGATTCCAAACAGATAAAGGGACCCACTCATATCTTAATGATTAACAGGAGTTAAATGAGAGGTTACCACATAATTTCTCTTTGAATTCTCCCAAGAGTCTCTGAAATAAGAATTTTTATTTATCCTCTTTTACAGAGGATGGAATTGGGCACAAGCAGGATGAGTGATTACTCCTGGTATCACACAGGGTGGTTTTCAACACCCCAGGTTTTACAGCTCTTAGGACCTACCACTCATCTGTGTTGATTATATGTAAGTGACAGAAGAGTAGAACAGTAAATCAAAAGTTCTATCTCAGGTGGCTGTCAAATTGCAAATAAAATAAAATCTACATTAGCAAAGATCAGAAACAGAGAGGAAGAGAAGCCAATCAAATAGGGTACAAAAGGGAAATGTGTAGAAATCAGGAGCAGATATGAGAATCCTCAAGCACTTTGCTGTCTCACAAGGGCAGCTATGACTTCAGAATCCAGAGGACACCCAGATAGCAGGAGGCCTCCAAGGGGTTAGAGGGCACATTTTCCTCAGGGCCTGCAGAGAGGCATCCTGATGTAACATCCATAATGAGTTTTCTTAGCTAGACAAGTTCCCTCAGCATTGGTTGATTTGTACACGAAACAGGAGGAAAAATAGAATTACTGGTGTCCTGAATTAATGCAGTTTCTACATTTTTTTAGGGTATGGTGTATTTTTCTTTGTCATCAATCATGAAGCTCTATAATGAACTTCTACTTTCAAGGTATGTCTTGTTTGCATTATTTACTGCTCTACCTCACTATTTAGCATATGTTCTTTATAGATTATCTATTGTAATATCCTTTCTTTTTTTTGTGTGAAAAGAAACCGAGGCTCAAAAAGGATTTTATCCAAAGCATATCTTGAGGAAGAGGTCCAATTCCATTTCCTGGTTGGCTAGAGCCCTATCTGATGCTTTGCCACTGTTTTCTGCCCCATCTTGCCTTATTTTAGTTTCAGAGCTTCCAAAGAATCTTCATATGACCACAGAATCTGAGACATCATCAGCACCTGTCACAACTTCTAAAGTCTCCACATATCATTTTTTGTCTTCTGTAACAGCGATCATCTGGGTTTTAGGTCTCAAGGATCCTATTTCCTTTTCTATCTTAATGCTGATATCATCATGTGACTAGGCCCTGACCAAAGGCAGTGAGGAGAGTGATGTAACCAACTTCTGGGTTATAGGATTAATGGGCAGAGCATAATCAGCATTTCCTTCTTTATCTTCTCCCAGGCATCCATTCTGATACCGTTGGGAGTCATTTAGGACCACAAGACATTGGGCCCTCCCAGGGTTGGAGACCAAAGATTCCTTGAGTCTGATGCTCTGGAGCTTACAGCACAGGTCTAACACATATCCTGTTAAGATAATTAGTGGTTCTTTTATAGCCACATTTTCACTCTAAAGAGGAAGGAAGTTTTTGCCTTTTGAAATGAGATTCCACTTTCAAGCCATGTTTGATAAATATAGGTGATTGTTTCATAAAATTGATGCAAGAGAAACAATATGTAAATAGGAATAATTATTTCATTGCAGAAAAGATGGAAAGGATTCAATGATGATAGGCTGAGAAAACCCAAGAGAGTAGGAAGGTACAAGTAGTGGTGAGGGATAGTTTTGTGTGTTGGGCCAGTTTTTATTCCATCCTCCATCTCTGCCTTTGTAGACTTCCCAAACTGGTGGCTTCTTCAAACCTCATCAAAAGCATCATTTTCCTTCTTGTTTCTGGGTGAACTGAGCTATCTGGTGATACAACCAGGACAGTAGAGGTTGTGCGGAGAGGGATTTCAGTTTTTGATCTCCTTATTCTCTCCTGCTAGCAGGGTGTTGGCAGTGGCACAGGGCGATGACAGTGGCAATTGTCCACTTGCTTGGTCATCTTCTAGTAATACAACTACAACTAAGGCTATGTCTATTCCTAGTAGGTGCTCTTCCTTTGTCCTTATAGTCTAGTATGGAAACAGTGCTCCACTCTTGCTTTGTTTAGGGCAGTTCACCATGCATTGCTATTGTTCCCTTAATCCTGAACATCTTTGTAAATAGTCCCTTCTGGTGTATTTCTCAATTATTCCAATTTGAATCATCTTGTTTGAACCTTGAGAAATACAAAAGGAAATTATTTCTGAAAAGCAAGTGAAAGCAATGAAACCCATTGCATAGCTTCTTAGTTCTAGGAAGCAATTCCTCCATGTGGCTTTACTTTTTAAGTGAATTTCTAATAAAGGCAGCAATCTATTCATGACAACATATTTAAATGGTTGGAATGGGGCAGAATGAGAGCTCAATCAGAAGGAAAAAAGTTCTCACTAAGCCTATATTAAATTCTCAAAGTAGGATCTTCAAGCACCCAGTCTTCAGAAATATGAAACCATCTCCTACCTTTCCCTGCAAGAAGCACCATGCCCCCTCCATGTAGCATCTTATGGTAGAAACACAGTGATGTGAACTCAGAGAAAAGTCCATACATAGCAGGAATTCTGAAAATTCTTACCATTTGTCCATTCTCCTGTCCAGAGGTGGAAGAGCTGAGCTGTGCTGACAGGAGAGAATCTTTCTCAGATGGACTGACCCCAGGGTATAATTCTTTGTTCTCCAAGTGGAGAGATGCCCATGGAAGCAGTATATAAAGCTGGTGACCAATTGAGGCTTTTAAGATTCTGAATGCCCCTGTGATTTCCTGTCTTGGGACTGGGAGCAAATTAGAGAACATAATCATTTGAGGCTTCATTTTAATGAAGATGTTTCTCGGCATCTTCGCTGTTTCCAATCACATATTGGCCTCTCCCTTCCATCCCTTTCAATCTACCTACTTGTAAGTAGTTGCTTTTTTATGTGCTTTGCCAACTATATTCTCAGGTAACAATGTAGGTAATGTATGCTTTCATACTGAGTTTTATTACTAAATAACAAAGTATATCATTGGGTCATTAAATGTGCCACAGTCCCATGTTTTTTATTTCTTTATGTCATCAGTAATGCATTCATTTCTATATATTTGTTCCAAACAACCAAACAAAAAGATGAGATTCCCATTCTCACTGAATCCTATTCTCTACTTATTACTTCTACCCATTCTTATTTTTCTCATTATTAGCTCTGATTAGCAAACATATTAGTATTTTAAGATTTGTCAGTGAAAAGAAGTAAATCAACTGATATTTCATACAAAATGTGAAGTGTTCCGTACATAAAATATTCTTTTTTCCTCCCTGCACTTCATGAGTTTTATTTTAAAATATTCATGCAGTGTAGACCTCCAAATTTTATGTCTTAGCTCATATGATTTCCCATCTGGTTCTTCATGTTACACTCATAATAAATTACTTATCATTTGTTAAAACTGTAATTTGAATAGGAAGCTAAGATGGACGTAAATGTTGGGACCCATTGGTAGAATGCTATGGTTTGGATATGGTTTAATTTTGTTTCCTCAGGAATTACGTGATCAGTGCTTGGTCTCAAAAATGGCAGTCAGGGTAGGTTTTGTGAAATATTTGAGAGGTAAGACCTAGCAATGGTCCTTGGGTCATAGAAAGCTTTTTATTAAATTTATCGTCATGCAACCCCTAGACTTCTTGTGAGTCTTTATATAGGAGCAAGCCTGGTCCCACCCAACTCTCTGCTTTCTGCCCAGAGGTATAGCCCTTAATCTACCTGCACCTCCACCACCCACCATGGGGCTTGACCCAGATCATGGGCTATAAAGTTTTGACTTCCAGTCAAATCTATAAGCTAATTTAACTTCTTTATTTCATGAGTAGTGTGTGCCATAAGTTTTGACAAAGTAAATAAATCTACATAATAAGGGAGTTAATTTAAAATTCAGAAATGTTTTTCTGTGGGTTGACTCAACAAATATTTCATAAGAACCTTAATTATCAGTTGAATTGTGTTAGAAAAATTATTTTGGGACTCCTAATCT